GTGCAGTGGGCGCAGGATAGAGCAGGGTTTAGGGCTGTTGTGCATAGGGTCGCTATGAGTCGAAAACGACTCGACGGCACATAACAACAACAACAACAACAACAAACAGCACTATGTGATCCCTTGCACTGGGTGCCAGTGGGATGTTCACCATCAGTGTACATGCACACGGTAGCATCCAGAGCAGGGAGAAAGAGAACAGGGTCTGTGGGACTGGATGTGAGGCCACGCTGAGGAGCCAGACTGCACAGGGACTGAAGAGCAGCCCGTGGGGTCACTGAAAGTCTGATGGCAGCCCCTGTCGAGTCGAGTATGACCCACAGCGACCCTGTGAACAACAGATCTGAGCCCTGCCCTGTCCTGCGCCATCCTTACCATCTCTGGCATAACTGAACCCATTGCTGCAGTCACCATGTCAATCCATTGAGGGTCTTCTCCTTCGCCAACCTCCACCCTTCCAAGCATAACGTCCCTCTCCAAGGAATAGCCTTTCCTAACAGCAGGCCCAAAGTATGTGAGGTGGAACTTTGTTGTTTTGCCTCCAGGGAGCACTCTGATGGCATTTTCTCCAAGACCTATCTGCTTGTTCTTTGGGCAGTCCATGGGATAGTCAATACTCACCTGAAAGGCATCAGTTATTCTTCTGTGAACAAGGCCTAGCCAAGCAGCCCAATCTTTGTGATACAGGAAGGTCATCTGGGATAATCTGAAAACAAGTCTCTGTCCCATGTGTCAGGTGCTGTGTTTGTAGCACGTATTTGCAGTAGAGAAGCAAGAGGTGCTGCTGTAGGATGGGATAGTGTTGTCAACCTAACCAAAGGGAAGAAACATGGGAGGCTCTTCTTATTTGCACTTAACAAGTGTTAGGGGACTCTAGTGGCCTAGTGGGTAAGGAGTTGTACTCCCAACTCAAAGGCAAGCACTTCAAATCCACCCTTCTAATACCCTGTCTCAAAAATCTACCGCCAGCCAGGCTGTTCCAAGTCCCAGCAACCCTACAGAACTGAGTCACTTGTTAAGTGCCGTCGAATCGAGTACAACTCATAGCAACCCTGCTCCATGGGAGAAAAATAGACCGTTTCCTCCCATATGATTTATTGCCTCTGAGAAACAGCTGGTGAATCAGTTCCAACTCAGTGGCGTAAGTGTCAGGGAGAGGGAAGTGTGGGTTTAGTGTTAGAATTCTTGTCTTCTGTGCAGGTGACCTGGGTTCATTTCCACCCCAGTGCACCCCCCGTGCAGCCAGCACATGTCTGTTGGGGGAGGCTTACATGTTATCACCATGCTAAACAGGCCTCAGCTTAGCTCTTCCCAAGGAAGAAAGACAAGGAAGAAAGGTCAGGAGAGCTGCTTTTGAAAATCAGCCAGTGAGAACACTGTGGGTCACAGCTGTCCAATCCACAGCCAGTCGTGAGGATGGGGCAGGACTGGGCAGCATCTTATTTTATCACGCAAAAGTCGCCTCCAGCTGGAGGCTGTCTTGAGGGCAGCTAGCAGCAGAACAACTGCAAAGCTAGGAGGCACCTTCAAGTTTGCCAGGCTCTGCCCGGGGCCACTCATATACAGGCTGTGACCAAGTTCCTCGCTGCGGCCCTGGCAGGGCAGGCGTTGTACGTAGTTCTATTTTACAGCCAAGAACATTGAGGCTCAGAGAAGAAGGAATCCCCTAGGGCTACCCTGCAGGCAATTGAGGGAAGCTGGCAACCTCTGCTGTCTCTTGTTCCAGAGAATTCCACTGCCAGCGTGAGTGAGGCTGAGCGGAAAGCCCAAGTCTACTATCATGCATGTATGAATGAAACCAGGATCAACGAGCTCAAGGCCAAGCCCCTGATGGAGCTGATCGAGAAGGTGAGTCCTAGCCTCCTGCTCAGCCACCAGCATGCCCCTGTCAGGCGGCTTCCCTCCCAGGCTGTCAAGTACCACCAGGGCCCAGCCACACGACGCCTGCCTGGACTGGGGCTGCGGTGCCTGTCTGCTAACATGGTGTGTGTGCACGCGTGCAACGCGTGCATTTGTGTGTACACATCTCTGCTCTGTGTGGGTAAGAATGTCTGTTGTGTGTATTTGGGTGAGGATATATGTCAGCATCTGCTGTGAATGGCTGTCATGTATGCATGTGTCTCTCTGCGCATCTGTGTGTGGGACGGGGGCCGTATTTCCAAGGAAAATATTCCTTTGAGTTGCTACTTCCCTTTCCTCTAGGGTGTTTATATGTGTGGAGGAGTGTGTGTGGGTGTTCCAGAAAGTCAGATGGAGTGTCTGGGAGCAGTGCCCCACTGACCTCGGGCCTCTCCTTCCTCCTGAGCAAGGAAAAGACTCTTTCTTCCTTGGCCAAGGGTAAACTCTGAGGGGGCTGCAGAATGCTGGCTGGGCTTCTGGCACAGACAGAAACAGTTCAGCTGCCCAGCAGTCCAAGTGGGCCCTGCTCCCTGGCTTGAATCAAGGTGGATGTTGTACAGGTTTCAGTAGCTGCAGGCCCAGGAACTGTACCCATTCCTCCTGTCTGGTACAGTGAGAGACCTTTGAAGGAGGGCCAAAGAAATGGGAAAAAACAGAGTAAGATCTGAGAAGAAGTAGAGTAGGCCATGTCTGGTCAATCTTTTAAAAATATGGAGTCTTTTTCTTTTTCTAGGCAGAATTGAATTTGTTTTAATGGACATTATGTTCATAGAACATAATAGTCAAGAAATAAAGTTTCCCATAGAAATCTCTGCCCCAGGCCCCATCGCATGGCGAGCAGCCACCACGTGGGGTTATGGTTCACCTGGTTAGGATAATTGTTTGGCCCTCACCTGGGACTGGTGGCCCTCTGGTTTGAAATCCTCAGTGAAAACCATCCATGTGTTACTCCTGAGATTCCTGAAAACCAGAGAAGTCAGGTGATAAGTTAGCTGCAACACAGAGGTTTACGTTGGGGTCTCAGAAGGTCTTCCCTTCCTCGTTGCCTTACTGTTCCCTCCATTTGTCCACAGCTTGGAGGCTGGAACATCACAGGCCCTTGGGACAAGGACAACTTCCAGGACACTCTGCAGGTGGTCACTGCCCACTACCGCACCTCTCCCTTCTTCTCTGTCTATGTCAGCGCTGACTCCAAGAACTCCAACAGCAATGTGATCCAGGTGAGCTGCCCTGCAGCTTGGGAAGGGTGGGCACAACCATGGCCCATCTGGAGTCGAACAGGCACTGTGGGAAGTGGAGGCTTTCCTGGGGTGTGGGCTCCTGGCTTTCTGAACCCAGGTTGTTTCTGGAAGTCCCTCAGCTGTGAGATTTTTACAACCAAGAGGTTGTGAAAGGACCTCACACAAACAAAACATTACTGAAGAACAACAACAACAAAATAAGGGGCCTTGTACTTCCTGAGCTCAGAACCTACTGACCTGCTGGGTACCAGTGCAATCAATACTAGACTAGTGGAATAGAGTTGAGAATCCAGACCTCAATGCACTGCCTCGGGATCACTGATTTTACCAAATGGCCAGAGTCCATTAAATGAGGAAGATACGGTCTAACAACTGGTGCAGACAAAACCAGATATCCATTTGCAGATAAACAAGATCCATAACTCACACTATACACAAAAAACTAACTTGCAGCAGGTCAAAGACCGACATATAAAACTTGAAAAGATTAAAATCATGGAAGAAAAAGATAAGGAAAGTGCTAGAAGCCCGAATATATGGCATAAATAGAATGCCACACATAATGAAAAATGAACAAACAGAAAAAAAATTTAACTAGATTAGACCATCCTAAAAATTAGAAACCAATGCTTAGCAAAACACTTGGGGGTTTTACAACTAAGAGGCGAGGAAAGGACCTCAGATAAAAGTGCTAAAGGACCCTGGCATTCTGGTGGGTAAGGCATTGTGCTGCCAACCCAAAGGCAAACAGTTTGAATCCATCAGCTTCTCCTGTGCAGTTCACAGCCCTGAAAACCCACTGGCGGGTCAGCTAGGAGTTGGTTCCAGTTCAACAGCAGTGAACATGAGACATACACACATCAAAACACTTCTCCAAAAAAGGTGAGAAGAACCTATGCTCTGTGAGAGGTGAGGGTAGCATCTGCACATATCCGACAAGAGACTGATGTTTGAAGTTTATAGAAAACTCCAGCACTTCAATTCAAAAAGACAATTCCTTTTAAAATAGGCAGAGTATATGAACAGACACTTGGCCATGACATACAGTCAGATGGCCAGCAAAACCACGAAACACTGACCCTGATAGTACTCTATTCAGTGCAGTAAACCCAATCCAGTTGAGATGATTCCTCCTTATGGCAGCCCTGCGAGACAGAGGAGAATTGCCTTCTGGGGTTTCTGAGGTTAGAGCTCTTCACAAAAGCAAGCTGCTTCATCTCCTCTTTCTCCCGTGAAGTGACTGGTGGGTTTGAACTACCAACCACTCAACAGCCCAAATGCTTAACCTTCAGCACCACCAGAGAGCTCCTCCATTAGCCCTTAGGGAGACACGTATCAAAATAGCAATCATACATCTTCTCATCTCAGTAACAATTGTAATGATCACAAAAAGCAGAAATTCTGTCGAGGCTGTGGGGTAACTTTTCATCCACTGGTGGTTGGATTGTTCAAAGGTACAATCACTGTGGAGAATGGTATGAATGTCCTTAAAAAGTAGAATAGAGATACCTGTGATGCAGGAATCCCACTATTAGATATCTACCTTAAAAAAAGAAGAGCCGTGGCACAGATAAATATGTGCACATCTGTGTTCATTACAGACTAGTGTTCATACACGCTAGAAAAAGAATGGCAACAACCTTAACAGCTCGCTGGGTAAACAGACTGTGGTGCGTATACATAATTTGATATTGTAACTTTAAATCATAATGATGAAGTTATGAAACATCCCACAGAGCATTATGCTGAGTGAAAATAGTCAACCAACACAGGACAAATATTGTATGAGCTCACTATTATAAAAGGTCAAGATAAGGTTTATTCCCAGAAAAGAAACATTCTTTGGGTAGGGCAGTCACTAACAAGATAGTAGAAGACATGTATTAATTTGGATGAAGAGAAAGGGAGTATATGAAGGGAGAAGTCAGCACAACGTGACCAAGGCAAAAGGAAGACACTGAGAGGTAGACAAGAGTAAAAGGCAATGATGGCAAATACTATTGCATAGAGAACCCTACAATATTAGGTTAACGAACAATCATTTACAAGAAGACGTGCTGACAGATGGGGGATGGCTTAGTGCACCCACAAGCATATATAGATTTAGAAGAGGATATATGTCACTGGGCCTGAGTGATCAGTTGACATAACATTGTTCATAAAAACATTGGTTTTGGACTGGTTATTTTTCATTTAGAAGTAAGTCTAGAATTTTTAAGTAACTGGGACCATTTTAAACAAATTTTTCCAGGTTTGATCATCAGCGGCAGCATGGAGCCATTGTAAGCATATTACTGTTAAAAGTGCTTATTTTAAAACTCGATGAACAGTTTTTAAGCAGAAGTTTCTTAAATGTAACCATTTTAAGTGCCAGTTAATTTATCAGACTAAGAATAAAATAGAAGATTGAGTTGTTACTGAATTCCCATGAGAATGTAGTTTATTCTTTTTTTAAATATCTGACCCATATTATAAAGTACCTCAAAACTAAAAAAAAAAAAAAAAAAAAAGAACCAAAACCCATTGTTCTTCATGCTATTAAGTGAGTAGCAATCTAGGATCTTAAAAGCATGTGCGTGGCCACCTAAGACACAGCTGTTGTTCTCTTCCTATCTAGAGCAAAGAACGGGGAAGAAAATCAGAGATTCAAGGAAACAATTCAGTCAAGAGACTAGATGAACTTGATAGTGCCCAGCTACCACTACCAACCACCTCTGCGCGGGGTAACTGCAGTAGAGTCTGAGAGAGTAGGACAGAAATGTAGAACCAAATGAAAAAGAAATTTTTGTTTTTCAAGGGCCAGACTTACTGATCTGATGGAGACTAGGGGAGCCCCTAAGACGGTGACCCTTTGATATCTTTCAAAGCTGAAACAGAACCAGCTGACAACACTTTTCAAGCAAATAATAGACAAGCCTATAAAGTGAACACTAATGCATTTGAGGAACATGGTCGTCAGAACAGTGGACTATGTTAGACCAAAAGGAGAGTATTTGCCCAAAAACCAAGTTCAGAAAAGAGGTATGGACAGGAAAGATGGGGGAATGGAAACAGGGAACCTAATGAAGGCTCAGCTGGACCACGGGGTCAATCCAGATTGAGTGGCAGAGTGTGCAAACGGAAAAGAAGTGGGATGAATGCTGTGATGTCAAGGGGTTCCAACTTAATACAATGGAACATAGGGTGTATAACTTTTTGAGTAGGAAACTAACTTGCTCTATAATGAACTTTTACCCACACCAAAATAAAATGTTAAAAAAAAGAAGGAAGAAGTTATAAAAGGAACCCACAGATGTCTTCGGAATTGTGATGAGTCATTGTGGGTCCACCCCTGGACATGGTTGGAAACACCTCAGCTGTAGAAGGGAGGAACCCAGGTTGGGGTCCACTCTGACCTTGGCACATCCCTCAGCCTCTCTAAGCTGCACTTTCCATGTCAGTCTAAGGGGCCCTGGCCCGAGGGCTCCTGGAAATCGATTCTCCCTTCCCACCTAGTACCAGCCTTTTAACAGCAGTATCTCATTCTAGCTCTGAGAGTCAGGTATGTTTTACAGATGAAGAACTCGAGGACCAGAAAGGCTAAGTTACTTGACCAAGATTACAGTGACTTTTAACCACTGACCATCTTGAGAGGCGTTTAGGAGGAGGGTGGCTCTGTTCAACCAGTTAAAAGGCTCCAGAATACCTGCAGCTGACCACATGTATGGACAGAAATACAGCCCCCGTGTGTCTTTCCCATCCTTGGGTGGCCCATCCCAACGGTGCCCCCAGCTAACAGCTCATGCTTCTTCTGGGGTGTAGGTGGGTCCTTAAATGCCATGTGCGGTCAGTGGCCTGGGGCCAAGGCTGTGTGGGGTGTTCTGTCTCACTTCTCCTTTCTCTCCAGGTGGACCAGTCAGGCCTGGGCTTACCCTCAAGAGACTATTACTTGAACAAAACTGAAAATGAGAAGGTAGGTGTGCCTCCTTAGAAAGTAAGCTCTTGAGCCCAGCCCACTGCCAACCCACCACAGTGCCAACTCCGACCACACCTGTGAAGGAGGAAATGTCACCTGACAGCAGACATGCCGTCCCTTGGAGTGTAAGGAACCTTCCAGCCATGGGTTCAGGCACCATAGGTGCAAAAGACAGAAACAGATACCATTTCCCCCAGGCTGTAGAGATGCAGCTACCATGGTGTGTAGGTAATAGGCATTTTACTCGAATCACCTCTCACCCTTCCAGTAACTCTGCAGATGGCTTCTCTCAACTTCATTTGCCTCATCTGTCAAATGGGTATGATTTTTAACCTTGTCTTTTTACATCTGCCCAAAGTTACACAGTCAGAAAGTAGTGGGACCAAGATTCACATCCAGATGCCCTGCCTCCAGAACCCATATTTATGGCACCCACCTGTGTTGAGCCCACTTCAACTAAGTACCTAAGTGGTGATCAAGGACCACATGGTCCTGGTTCCACGGAGCTCAAAGTCCAGTAGGAAAGACAGATATTAACTAACTTAACTGATCACTCAGTTAAATGTGTGATTATAAATTGTGATGAAAAAATGTTTAATATGGTCTGATTCCAATCTAGGGCACAGGGGCAAAGGGTGTCTCAAAAAAAGACTTATGTTTCAAGAATAGAGCCATGGCTGTTCTCACTGCTGGCTTTCTTGGAATAGGTAACACAGAGGGCGTGTGGGTTGGGACTGGACAGCAGAGAAGGCAGGCGTTGAGGCTTTCTCCGGAGAAGAGGTGCAGTACCCCAGCATTTCCTCCCAAGCAGCTTGCCTAGGCTCCCTGCCTGTGCCAGGCGGTAGCAGGTGGCAGCCTTTTATGGTTTGGTGGTTCTGGGTCCCGTAGGTGCTGACTGGATACCTGAACTACATGGTCCAGCTGGGGAAGCTGCTGGGCGGAGGGGATGAGGACCGAATCCGGCCTCAGATGCAGCAGATCCTGGACTTTGAGACGGCGCTGGCCAACATCACCATTCCCCAGGAGAAACGCCGTGACGAGGAGCTCATCTATCACAAAGTGACCGCCGCCGAGCTGCAGGTACCTTGAGCATGGCTGTCTCCAAGGCTGACACAACCCCTGGGCTGAGCATGCAGGGCACTAGGTAGAGGGCTGTCAAACACTATTGCTCATCAAGCCAGGTCCCTGTGTGGTACACCAGTTCACTCTTGTCTGCCAACTAGCATGTTGGAGGTTCAGATCTATCCTGTGGTACCCCAGAAGAAAGGCCTGGCATCCACAGCTGAAGGATTATAGCTATTAACGGTCCTGTGGAGGTGGATTTCCATCAGTCAGAATCAACTCTGCAAGATGACTGTTATTTCCAGTTCACAGATAGAAAAACTGAGACTCATGAAGTTACTTGCCAAAGGACACACAGGTGATAAGTGACCCTGGAGCTAATCTCTTCCCCTAGGCGAAGCTACTTTTCTGTCTCAAGGTATTTAACAGGGCAGACTATGATCTAACTAATAGCAAGTTTAGTTAATTGGACATTTCTAATAAACAATGAATATTTGGGTGTGGTCTGCCATATCACCTTCCATTTCCAGGCTAGACAGTTAAGTGAGGTGCTCAAGGCCTCTATCCCCAAGTGAAAGAGACAGGAGTTGAGAATTGAACTAGGTCTTGGTTCACTGAAGCACTGCTCTTAACCACCTTCCCTGGAAAACCTGAGGAGGTGTAACGGGGGGGGGGAAGGCTGCCAAAGCTGCTGTGCTTTGTCTATGCTTGCTCTGGGCCTCTGAACATATGCCAGTGACTGCCCCCTGGTGGCTGCCTGCGGCTTGAGGGCTATGACTTGACTCTCTTCTGGTTCCTCCAATTCAGAGGTCTGTTATCTAGGCTCACCCAGGTTCACAGTGGAATCACCAAATATGTCTGTGTTTTGACTTTAGGGTCTTCCTGCCATCACCTACAATGCAAGCTAAAACTTGCTTGTTCCTCTTCGGTAGCTGTCTAGGCCTCTTGTGTTCTGGGCCTCCATCACCAATATCTTCTTTACTTTCCAAATAGCCAAATTCTACCCACTTGTTAGAGTTAGGCTCATTTCTAGACTTTTAAGTAAAACTAGACTCCTCCTCTTTTCCCTTCCTACTTTCAACAAGGATGTAGGGGACCCATTTGGGACACTTGAAAAATCCACCTTCCTATGGTGCCAAGCTAGTTGGGAGACAGAAGTAGGAAGCAGTTAGCAGTCTCATCACAGAATGTGTTTGACAAGGAGTATCAGGAGAAGGCAGGGAAGGAGAGTAATGATGGGTGAGTACTCAGGCAGAGGAAGAGTCCACGCAAAGGCCTAGGCATGAGGACTAGAGCCTGGCTTCCTGCTGGGTGCCAGCTGCCCTGTGGGTTCCCAGAGAAGTTGGCATCAGGTTAAATGGTGCCGAGTGGTTGTTAGGGTGATCGGCAGCCCGTGCTGGCACCATCTGGCACTGTTTTTCTGCTCAGAGGCCAGGAGGTCGAAGGAGCTGTTGTTTATGCATCAGTAATTTGGTTTGTTCCAGCTGCTCAGTTCTCAGAGCTGAAAGGGAACCCAGAAGCACCTCTGACCTCTGCACCACAGGGACCATGATGCTGTGTGTTCACTCCAAGAGTGACAGACAAGGCACAGGAGCCCTGACCATATCAGTCCCAGCCAGCCCACCAGATTATACCCCCAGCTATCTCCACACCATTGCTTGCTTCTTCCAGGAGAGAAGCGAACGAAAGACCTTTCTTCCAGGGTGGGGACCACTTCCACTCGGACAGGGAAGACTTCCGCTTCCGGTGGGGAGTACCTAGGACAGATGCACCAGCCCTTAGTAGTATGAGCACCAGGCTCTGTGACACACGGAGCAGGTCATGTAACCTGCCTCTCTGAGTCTTTCCCTTTTCTCTGTAAAATGAGGCTTTGCTCATTCAGTCACTTGATAAACGCCCTGCGGGGTACAGCTCAGATGCAGGCTAGCTTCCAGGAAAGACAGGATTCAGAGCCACAGACCAGACATCCTTGTGTTGTTTCTCTGGAGGCCTGAGAATTCTTTTCTTTTCTTTTTTTTTTTTGAGAATTCTTTTCTAAGACTCTCCACACCCAGGTCTGTTTGGGAAGGAGCCCCCTTTCTCTGACCTCATTTCTGTAGCTGAGAAAAAGCCCACAGCATTCTTGTTGCCTTGTTCAAGCCTCAGGTTTTCTAGCCTGCTTGTGTTCTTGGTAAGTGAGCAGTAGGCCCCAGAGCTACAGTGGGGAAGGGAAAAATGCCCTTGAGGGTTTGAGTCAAAGTTGAATATCCAGGTCAGTTAAAACAAGTCTCCCAGTATCCACAGAGAAGGGTTTAGGCTTGTGTGTGTTTGGGAGTTCGCTGAAGCAATGAGGATTGAGAATACGAAAAATTCTGGTTTTCAGCCATATCTCTTTATCTCAGAGCGGTGGGAATTTAGCTGCACAGAACACCTGCTCTCCCTAACTGCAAATGCTAGTGTTAAGTACATGGGGGTTTATCAGCATCTGATAGCTGTTCTTTGATCAGGGAGTCCCAGTTGCCCACAGTGTATGAAGCTGTTGTGAATAGTGTAAACAATGACATTTGGTAAGCCTGTCAATTTTCCCAGGGGCCAGGCCAGGGGGCTGGATCATCAGGTGACTCTAATTGTTGAGCCCTGTTTGAAAAATCTTCCGTGTGCGTGCGCGCGCGCGCGCGCGCGCGCGTGTGTGTGTGTGTGTGTGTGTGTGTGTGTGTGAGAGAGAGAGAGAGAGAGAGAGAGAGGGGAGCCACACAAATGTTAAGGAGTCCCGGAGAGATAGCCTGCCTGCCTGAGGGTCTCCTCCCAGGTGGGGGCTTTGGGAACAAGCAAGGGAGAAAGGGAACGCAGGCTTATTGTGCAGCTTCCGATGCAAGGCATAAAAAACAGCCAACTGTAGAAATGAAGATTGTGGTCCTACTTTTGCGGGATGGTAGCAAAGGCTCAAGGTTTTAGAGGTGGGGACTTTGCTCCTGGTCTTCTTCCCAAGTGGTACTCGTCCCAGTGCGTCTTCTTGCCTCACATACAGAGGTATGCTGAGCCCTGTGCTCACAGGCCATCAGTGCATATCTCTTCTTAGTTCTGTATCACTAAAAGTGATGCCTTTGAGTTGTGGTGCTGGAGGAGAGTCTTGAACATACCATGGACCACCAAGAAAACAAATAGGTCTGTCTTGGAGAGGAAGAAAACAAGTTTCTCCTTGGAGGCTAGGATTTTGAAGCTCTGTCTCACATACTTTGGGCATGTGGCCAGGAGGGACTGATCCTTGAAGAAAGACATCATGCTCAGAAGGGTGGAAGAACAGCACAGGAGAGGAAGACCCCAGATGAGATAGATTGACACAGTAACTGGGGCAATAGGGGTAGCTGTGTTTGAGTCAGTGAGACTGGCTTAGGACAGGACAGGTTCAAGAGCTTTGTACATAGGGTCACTGTGAGTCATAGGCAACTCGACAGCACATAACAATCTAAGAGTAGTTTGTAGCAGGCCATATATTTGCCTGAGAATGCTGAATCCAAGATTGCCGTTGTTGTTGTTGCTATATGCCCTGGAGTCACCTGAGACTCATAGTGACCCTACGTACAACAGCCCTAAACCCTGCTCTATCCTGTGCTAATCTCACTGTCTCCGACACACCTACCCCCATTTCCCCAGTCACTGAATCAATCCACCTCATAGAGGACCTTCCTCTCCTGTGCTGTCTCTCCACCCTCCCAAGCATGGCATCCTTCTCTAAGGACTGGTCCCTCCTTGCCACATGTTCAAAGTATGTTAGACGAAGCTTCAGAATCCTTGCCTCCAAGGAGCAGCCTTGCTTAACCCTCTCTAGGTTGGACCTGTTCGTTTTAACAGTCCATGGTATATGCAATACTCTTCTCCAGCATTACAGCTCAAAGGCATCAATTTTCCTTCTGTCATCCCTAGTCGTTATCCAGCACTCTGATGCATATCAAGTGATTGCGAAGACCATGGCTTGTATCAGGCGCACCTTAGTTTCCAGAGTGACATCATTGCTCTTCAGTACTTTGGAGAGATTGCCCCTAGGGAGCCCATTATTAAGCATCTGCTAGCACACTCCGCCCTGTCCTCCATGCTGCCCTCCTCATTCTACTCTATCCTTGGACATCTTTGTTTACAGCTGAACTAGCCAAGAACCCAGAGAGATAAGTGAACGTGGCCTTTCAACCTGGTTAACTACATCCTCTGGAATATTAGTGGCTATTAAGAGGGGTGGTTTGTGGCTTCCCATCTCACTAATGGTGGCATAGATTTTTACCAACAGATTACTTAATTGATCTTCTGCCACTAATTGTTCTGCTCACATGATTGCTATTTATGATGCATCTGTCACTTTCGTTATATGTCTGAATTTTTTTTCCTTTTACAAGGGAAATAGAACAGAATTTGGAATCATTTGGGATCCAAACCATTCTCAGGAGACCTTGAGAAATGATTCCAAGAGTTAACATTGATTGCCTGCTTACTAAGGGCCGTATACCATTCCAGGTGATCGGCATGCAGACATTTTTGTTGTAGCACAGGATATGGAACCAACAGTACTTTATACATAAAAATAAGCTTAAGGGCGCTCTGGTGGCCTAGCAGGAAGAAGCTATGCCTCAATCACAAAGGCACACAATTTGAAGCTACCAGGTGCTCTGCGGGAGAAGGATGGGCAGTCTCCTCCCGTGTGATTAACTGCCTCTGAAAGCCCGCTGGAGGGTCAGCTGTGGGTTGGTTCTGACTCTGTGGTACACTGACTACAGCAGTGGGTTTAAGTACAGCAGAGATTGTGAGCATGGGCAGGATCAGGCGGGTTGCTGTCCGTGGTGCGTAATGTTGCCGAGTTGGAGCTGACTCCTAACAAATGGCATAAATGGTAAAAGGTTGGTGGTTCTAGTCCATCCAGAGGTGCCTCATAAGATTGGCCTGACTACCTGCTTCCAGAAGGTCATAACCTTGAGAACCCTGTAGAGCAGTTTTACTCTGCATTACTTTGAGCCCCATTGACTTACCAGCAACTAACAACAACAGTGGAAGAAATAGGACTAGAATGGACTATTCAAAAGATGTTGTTGTCGTTGTTGTTGTTGTTGTTGTTGTTGTTGTTGTTGTTGTTAGATGCTGTCAAGTTGAGTACAGCTCAGTGACCCTATGAACAAAAGATCTGAACGTGGTTTGAGGGTCTTTCTCTCCTTCACCGACCCTCCACCCTTCCTTCCGTCATGTCCTTCTCCAAGGAGTAGCCCCTCTTAGCAACATGCCCAAAATTTGTCTGCCAAAGTTTCATCATTCTTGCCTCCAAAAAGCACTCTGGCTGCACCCTCTCAAAGACATACCTGTTTTTTCTCTTGGCCGTCCACGGGATGTTCAGCACTCTTTTCTAGCACCACAGCTCAAAGGCATCAATTCTTCTTCTGTCATCCTTATTCATTGTCCAGTTCTCAGTTGCATAGCAAGTGACCAGAAATATGATGGCCTGAGTCAGATGCAGTTTAGTCCTCAAAGTGAGTCATTTGGAGAGGTCCCAACTGCAGATCTTTCCCAGTGCAGTGCATCTCCTTATTTCCTTATTGCTGGTACTAAGGGTATTAAGAGGCTATACAACTTTATATTCACACCATCAGCAAAACAACTGGATCCTTGGGGGATAGTTTAGAGTAGCTAAAGTTTAACTTTATAGAAAACACCACTATGGACACTGACACCCTGCAGTTGGAAGAGGAGCTCTGGGAAATGGGGCTGCCATTCGAGCGGGCTTAGGAGAAAGTGTGGTCTGCTCTTAGCTGAGAGCTGTGCAAAGCTGGCTGTGTGTCTCTGTGGGGAGGGCGCCTAAAGCCCAGGTGCTGGTGTCAGTTTTCTGAAAGTAGAGCAGACAAAGTGCCTGTGTGGACATTCGATGAATTGAGGGATTCCAGGATTCCCTGAGGGATCCTTCAGGGATTATCTTTCCACGTCCCCTTACCTGGGTACAGTCATCTGTGGGCCAATGTGGTTTACAAAGGACTGTAATTATTCTTGGATTTTCCAATTACATCAAGCCAATTGATGTTGTATGTCGAGTAGGTAATGTGAATCAGGTTTAATACTAGATTCTATGACGATAATAACAATGAATCCCATTTTACCTAGAGAGATACTGAGGACACACTGGTTAACTGTTCATTAACTAACAAGGTTCATTAACATGCTCAGCTAGTAAGAAATGGAGTATGAGCCAAGGCAGTTTGGCTCCAGATCCTACACACTTGATTAATACAGACTTATCTGAGGCTCAGTGTGGGGTAACAGTTCTTACCCTGTAGACTTGTCACAAGAAACCAGTGAAAAATTGTTACTGTTGTTATATGCCTGTTGAATCAGCTCCGATCTCAGCAACTCTGTGTATAACAACATCCGACGTTGCCTTGTCCTGCACCGTCCTCACAGTTCATTGCTGTCTTTGACCCCATTGTTGCAGTCACTCTATGCAGTCGCTCTATCAATTACTCTGCAGGAAACTCTTCTTTTCCAGTCCTTTGCTTCTAAGAAGCATTCTAGATGTACTTTCTCCAAGGCAGATTTGTTAGTTATTTCTCCAGTCCATGGTGTGTTTAATATACTTCACCAGCACCTTAAGTCAAAGACATCCATTCTTTTTTGGCCTCCCTTATTCATTGTCCAGCTTCTACATGCATCTGAAGCAATTGAAAATACCATGGCTTGGATCAGACACACCTTAGTCCTCAAGGTGACTTCTTATAAGTATTTAAAGAGGTCTGTCTCAATGTGATGATGCTGTTTGATTTCCTGGCTGCTGCTTCTGTAGGCATTGAATCCTGGCTCAAGGAGGGAGAATTGTTGACAGTAGTGTTCGGCACGGCAGAGAATGGTAGCTGCTGCTCCCATTGTGTCGCCTCTTTCTCCATCCTAGTCCTACTCCCAAATTCAATTATAATTATTGGATCCTATAGAATTGTATCCACAGCATTCCTGACAAAAGTCATTCAACTTCTGTAGCGTTATCTGCCTTACCCACCCACTGCCAGACAGGTGCAAACTTTTTCCTTGATGGAAGGTGGTGATAACACCTCTTTCCCAAGCATCCCAGGGACCTGGACTGTGAGGAGAACGAGCTCACCAGATTCACACTATTTCTCTTTCCAGACCTTGGCGCCCGCCATCAACTGGCTGCCCTTTCTCAACACCATCTTCTACCCTGTGGAGATCAATGAAACGGAGCCTATAGTGGTGTACGACAAAGAGTACCTTGAGCAGGTCTCCGCTCTCATCAAAACCACGGACAAGTGGTAAGGGGGCCCACTGCAGCCTGGGGTGGGCTTCTAGCAGGCAACGGCCCTTGTCCCACTCTCAGGCAGAACCAGCAGGGGTAGGTAATGAAAATCTGACTTAGAAAATGGATCCCTGGGTTGGCTTTTGTGGGAGATAGTTACAAGTGCAAGTTCAAATCCCAGCTCTTCTATATACCAGCCTCGCTACTTGGACGATTTCTGTACATTTCCTCATAGTCATTTGTTTGCCTCATCTAGAGGATGTGGATGTGAATAGCACCCACCGGGCAGGCTGGTTATAGGTTATAGGTTCGGGTAAAATAATCTGTGTGAAATGTTTTAGCACAGCTCTCAACACATGATGAAACTCAATAAATGTCACTTCTTTGGTTGAGGGATGTGTGTTGTTGTTATTGCTGTGTGCCTTTTAGTCAGAACTGACTCATAGCTGACCTTCCAGTGAGTTTTCAGAGGCTGTAAATTTCTCCCACCGAGCAGCTGGTGGATTTAAACTGCGTGCCTTTGGGTTGGCAGTTCAACTCTTACCACTAAGCTACCAGAGCTCCCTCTGTGTGTGTAGGTGTGTGTGGCCTTTTTTTTCACCCAAGTTAGCTAGTAGTTTTAATTAGTTAATATTTATATGATTGTTTTTAAAATTTTTAAAGGGTTATAGATATTTTAAGAACTATAGGAAAAAATTATAATGCCTAAATCTCTGGGATTCTGTGTGTACGTGCATGTGTATGTGTGTGGAGAGAACAGAGTGCGTGTGTGAGAGGGAAGGGTCTGTTTATACATGGTTCTATTTCTCATCATTCTAATTCATTTGTTTACCTACCTTTTCCCTTTTCTCCTCTTGACTTTTATCATAATGCTTGCCCCATGTCATCTCAGATATTGTTGCATTACTACCTGGTTTTCTATTAAGTACAGATAGTATTATTTTCATCCATTTTCCTGTTGTAAGACACTTAGATTAGTTCCAGCATGACGTTCTAGTGTTCACTGTAACGGCTGTCTTCTCCGTAAAGGTGAGAGTGACGCTGATAGGTTGCATGTGCCCTGGAATGGGAACAGGGGAGGTCTCATTCATGGAAACCACAGTCCAGCTGACTGGGGCTTCCTCATCTATCCCTACTGTTCACAAGCCCCACTTTGCCTCTCTGGCCTCTGACCTTCCATCTCCATGCTGTGAAAATTGCCAGTTCCTTCCACCTCCAGCCTTGTAACTCGCTCCACCCTTCCCTACCCTTAAAGGTTGAGCCTTCATGCTACTTTAAAATTTCAGACAAAAAGTAATTAAGTAAGCAACAGGATTTATTGAGTGTCTCTGAGTTTTCCACAGTAGAAACCCAAGGCTCAGTCTTTGAGAAAGGTAGAGAGAGACCAAGATCAGAAGGGTGGTTTGAGCACCCCTAGTGGTCAGCACGGGAGGTGCTGTGACATTTCCGGCTGCTCTGAGTCCCTCTAATGTCCTCTTGCCCCAGCCTGCTCAACAACTACATGATCTGGAACCTAGTGAGGAAAACAAGCTCCTTCCTTGACCAGCGCTTTCAGGACGCTGATGAGAAGTTCATGGAAGTCATGTACGGGACCAAGAAGGTGAGCCTGTTAGCTGTGTGTTCTCTACACTCTGAGCGCCGGCTTGGTGCCAGGCCTGGGACTCGGTCAGGGCTGGGAGTTGGCACTATCTTGGTGCCTTCCTGGGACCATGGAGCTGGTGAGGGAGACAGACTATGATAGAGAATGAAAGGACCACTGATAAACCAACCCCAGGGCACAGAAGCTTCTAGGAGGAAGTGCCATACTGAGCCCCAAGGGGAAAAGGAAGTGTTAGCAGCCCAGCTCATTTATAGGAAAGGTGAGTCTGTTCTCTCCCTTCCCGCTTCCCCAAGACGGTGGTGGCAGTGGGCATGCTCCTTGTTGTCTTGATAATCGAGTCTTGCTGGAACAAGAATAGTGCACGTAGGTGGCTTTGTTGTTGTTGTTGTTGTTATTGTGTACCATCGAGTCAGAACTGACCCAGAGGGGACCCTCCGGCTGGTTTTCTGAGGCAGGAGACTGTCCATTCTTCTCCCGCGGAGGAGCTGGTGAATTCAGGCTTTGTGCCTTCGGGATTGCAGCACGGCTTCTTACTGCTAGGCCACCAGAGCTCTCTTGGGTGGCTTTGATGAGAAGAAGATTCTTTTCTCATGGTTTAGTTGGGGGGAAAGTCTAATTCAGGGCCCTGGCGATAGGAGAAGGCTCTGTCTGCCTGTCTTGTCTGGGAAGATGCTTGTCTGTTTCAGCTTCTCTTCTTCAGTTTCTTGGTGATCACCACATAACTTCAATCTCATCCTGTTTCCCCTTGCTTTGCTTCTGCAAAGCAGAAAAAAAAACCCAACCTCCTTTTTATAATTCTTAATCAGTTGGCTTAAGACACACCCTACACTAAATGGCCTCATCAGTGTAACAAAGAGAACTCTTGTTTCCAAATGAGATTTCATCCATAGGTTAGGATTTATGACATGTATGCAGGAAGGACACAGTTCAGTGCATAACACTGAGTAACTCATTCTTTCTCATTGCTCCTTGGAGTAACTCAGCTCAGTGCTGTCAAGTTGGAACCAACTCCCAGCTGGCCCTCCAGTGGGTTGTCAGAGGCTGTAACTTGCACAGAAGGAGACTGTCCACTTTTCTCCCATGCAGCAGCTGGTAAAGTCAAACCACCTGCCTTTGGTTTGGCAGCACAACTCCTACTCCTTTGAGTAGGTCCTGTTATTATCTTATAAAGGAGACCTTTAACAATACTTCCTTCTCAAAGAGTGCTTACTCAGAGTAAGCAGTACATAATTCACCATTATTATTATCTTCGTAATCTAGCCCCACCGTTCTGGGATAGCAGAGTCTCAGATCCCAGATCAGGTTGTCTCCACACACCCTTAAGTGCCCTCACCAAGACCTCTGAGGGCCATTATTTGTCACCCCCGTTGAGAGCTCCCTAGCCACTCCCACCTTCTCCCCATGGGATGCCTTCACTTTTCCATTCATGCAGCCAGCAGAAGGCTCTTTACTGAACCAAACCCCTACTCATGCCAGGCCCAAGCTAAGTGGGAATACTGGGCTAACAGAAGGGGGTTAGTGTCTTCAGGATCTCACACCTACTCATGTGTGCCTAATGGGGACTCACCATGCCAGGGGCCCCCAAGGGCAGCTGGGAGGGTGCCCAACTACAGAGGAGCCGAGACTGGGGTGCCAGACCTGCCAACACACTCTGCCCCCACCCAGGACTCCTTATTAATCTAATCTCTGGGATTGTAAGATCCCAGCAAGATCTTCCCAACTGGGCTCTGCCCCATATCTCCCCACACAGTGCAGTAGATAATTGGAGCCAAGTTGGGGCTGGGGTTCAATCTCACCCCCAGATACATGTACCGGTGCAAGAATTCCTTGGGTAGCACAAATGGTTAAATGCTTGACAATTGGCCAAAAGGTTGGCAGTTCAAACCCTGGAGACCTGAGCCAGGGGTCACTGGATACCCTAGGACTAGAGGACAGAGGGAACTGCTCCTGTTTATTATCCTCCAGCTTCCTCCACTCTCCTCCAAGGATTCAAGTCACGCTTGGGCTAGTGCTTGAACTTCTCTGAACGTAATTATTCTCATATAGAATATGAGATCATTCCTGACTTCCTTACCCCACAAGACCCTTATGAATAAACACTGCTTGATAAAACATTGGGATTTGTTAAACAGTGTAGCTTGAATGTATCAGAGATGAGGACAGCATGGGATAGGACAATGTTCAGATAGGTTGTGCATAGGGTCGCTATGAGTCATACCTACCAACAGCATACAGAATACCAATTGAGATGTTTCAGCGAACAGATGAAGCCCTGGATCTGCTCCCCCAAGTGTGCTGAGAAATTTAGAAGACACACACCTGGCCAGCCTACTGGGCTGATTTTTCCAAAGAAAAATTATCCAACAGAATAAGGAAATTATGAACAATAGCATTAATATCATACACAAGTAGAATCTTGCAGAAGACTCCTTAACAACCTGTGATGGGCAGAAGATACACTTTGGCTTGTAGAAAATTAAAAAGACCGAAAGCACTTACTGATGAAGATGAAAGATTGAAGCCTTCATTATTAATACACCTCAATGTAAAGCAGAAACCTAGTATTTGGACCAGTGAACAACATTATGATAAATGGAAAAAAGATGGAAGTTTCAAAATTCCGTTTTACTAGGATTTCCAATGAGCAGCAGTGAAAGCACCGGTAGGTAATGAAATGGCATGTCGCAGTGAGCACCAAGGTGTGTCTGACCCTAGCTGTGGTGTTGTCAGTCACGTCATACGCGTGTGAAAAGTGGAGTAATGAATTAGACTGAAGAAGAATTGATGCTTTAGAACTGTGGTGTTGGTGAAGGAAATTGATTGCAGCACAGGCTGCCATAAGAACAAACAGATCTGCCTTGGGAGCAGTGTAGCCCGAATGCTCCAAGGGACTTCATCTCAGATGCTTTGTTCCTGGAGAAAGAAAGTAAAGGATCACTGGAGAGAGAGAGAGAAGAAGCAGTGAAGTTAACTGATACAGCGGTGTTAAGCACAGCAGAGATTTGTGAGGATGGAACAGGACCAGTGTTTCATTTGTTATATATGGTCACTGAGTTAGAGCTGATGCAACACAATACCCAAGCATACAGTTGCTCCCCCTTGTGGTGAAAACAGTGCGGTTGGGCTGTATCTGACTTTATGATACCCTTTACGAATCACAGTCTTGAGAAAATCACTTAATTGGAAGGAAGGGTGACTTCAGTCTTCTCATCTGCAAAAAGGGATGAATCCCTGTTGACTCGAGAGGAGGGAGCTCTGATGGCCTAGTGGTAAGAAGTTGCACTGTAATCCCAAAGGCACACGGTTCGAATCCACCAGCTGCTCTGTGGCAGAAGGATGAGGAATTTCCTCCGCGAGATTTATTGCATCTGAAACACCACTGAGGTGTCAGCTGTGGGTTGGTTCAGACACGATAATACACGCAACAGCGCAAGAGAAGAGTTCTGGTGGAACTGTGGTTACAGCGTTTGGCTGCCGAATCTGCAATTCGAACTTAGGAGCTGCCACGTGGAAGGGAGAGGGGAGGGATGAGTGACAATTGGCTTCAACAAAGGCTCACAGCCTTGGAAACTAACTGCAGGACACTTCTGCTCAGTCCTGTGGAGCTGCCATGAGTCGGAATGGGGTTGGGGGCCCGGAGTTTTGTTTGGATGTCCAGGAGATGAGGCTGAAGCACTGCGCAAAGCTGGTAGTCATCTGTTATTACCTGTTTGTGATTTGGGAGTTCCGGCAGGAGGAAGACACCCTCACTGGGAGCTTCTTGTACCTTCCAGGGCTCTTAATACTACGGTGAAGGACGTAGGGAAACGCAGCCAATTCAGGGCAGAGAGATTGGCTGGCTGCCCACCCTATCATCTTTCCAGACTCTGGCACTGTCCCTTCTGAGATGAACATTTCCTCACCCTGTGGAGTTCACCTGACCCTTTGCTCCCTGTCAGATGTTTCCTGCCATCCTATGGCCCTTCCAGGTATTTAATGACTTAAAACAGTCACTGAAATCAGTCACTGAAATATTCTGGGCGTTTCTGCTCTGAGCACTTTGAGGACAAGGCCCAGCAGGTGACTCATCTCTAGATTCCAAAAACCCAGCACAGTAGAAACTATTCAGAGAATGCTGGCTGAGCGAATTTGTGCATGACTGAGTGGGTTTATCCAGTGACTTTTCGGAGAAGATAACAAATAAGAACCTATCAGCCGTCACAGCCTGGAACCTCCACAGAGTCAAGAGTGTTCTAGAATGCCCGTAGTACGCTGACCTCCTGTGTGGTCAGCCTCGGTCAGATCCGATGCAGCCTGTGTGTCCAGCGGTGGCCCTCGAGTTGACGAAAGGAATAAGGGCTGGGGACAGGACAGGGTGGAGCAGAAAGCAAGTGTCCAGGTAGACACGTGGCTCAGAAAGCTGAGGGAAACTTGGATAACTAAATTTAGAGAAGCTCAGAGTGAAGACCTCCACACGTTATTCCTCCTGCCTGCCTGGAATAAATATAAATGATAAACAATAAAATGAGCCATGTCCAGTAAGTATTCAGTTCAGTGAGTTGTGACAGGTAGACTCACGCAGCCATGACTGAGAACACTCCATCACCCATTTCTCCAGTATCCAGTGTTCTCTGAGAAGAAGGGCCTTCCATACCCTCTTCCAGGCAGTCCCACCTGCATCCCCAAGTGGCAGCCCACTCCTGATTTCTACCACTGCAAGTCAGTTTTGCCTATTAGAGAACTTTAAATAGCATTAAGCACTCTGTACTCTGTGTTTGCCTTCCTTTGCTCAGCATAAAACAAAACCTGCCATCCAGTCAAATCTTGACTGCATCCCTGTAGATCAGCGTAGAATTACTCATCAGATTTCAGAGGCTGTGAATCTTTACACAAGTAGACCACTACCTCTTGGAGCAGCTGGTGGGTTCAAACCACTGACCTTTTAGTTATTATCAGCCACATTCTTTAACAATTATACCACCACCTGTGCTCCTTGCTTGACAAGACCTGTGAAACTCACTCATGTTGCTACAGAGTTTGTTCCTTTCTGTTTCTCAGGAACAATATGTTGTTGCACGAAAATACCACATTTTGCTAATTCACCTGCCTACTGATGGACATTTGGGCTGTTTTCAGTTTGGGGTTATGATGAAATCAGGTTGCATTGAGCCCAGGTGTGTTTACCTACCACCTGTTCTTCAGGACCGGGGACCCAGGCGCCTCAGCATCAAGACAGGGCCACCACACATGTGGTCCTATACCCCTTGGAGGAACACTTGGCCAGGCCATGGAAATAACTGGGGCTGAAAACCCTAGCGGAGATTCCCATGGTGAAACCCTACACCTTTGCTGGGGCTGTTTTTTCTCTTGGAGGTTTTATGATGGGGCTAGGGCCCTGGTCTTCCAGGAAGGGTCTCTTGGACCCCATTTGGGATGGGTGGATGAGGTCACTTTCCATCCTTTTCCACTACCATGACACTAATGCTCCTCCAGAGAGAAAGCTAATGTGGGGTGAAGGCAGGGGGTGTTTATCAAGGCTATCTAAGTTGCAGTTAAAGTAACACCCTCACTCTCTGAGGAATCCCAGACCAGCAACTTCCTCTTTTTGTGTGTCCATTTGTCAGGTGTCTGTAATCCCTGCCTCTTGGGACCATCATGCTGGTTCCATAATATATAGCTTGTGACATGCCATACAGATAATGTAGATGCCGATGAAGGATACACCACGGCCTCTTGACCTAATGTAAAAAAATTACTTCCACTGTGTCAGAAAAGAACCCTGTGGGGTTCTGGAAAGTAGCCTGGCTCCAAGATGCTGCTACTTCTCAAACCAAAAGGGGTTGGAGATGAGTAACCTTCTCACTTACGCTTTGCAGACCTGCCTTCCTCGCTGGAAGTTTTGTGTGAGTGACACTGAAAACAACCTAGGCTTTGCGCTGGGCCCCATGTTCGTCAAAGCAACTTTCGCCGAGGACAGCAAGAACATAGTAAGTGTCTCCCCCGTCCTATGGGAACACAGGCAGGGGCACCACGGCTGCTGAGCCATCGTGTGGGTTTCTTAGCCTATCTCTGGTCTCTTCTGGACCCTTCCAGCTCCATGCCAGAGAGCCCCAGAGCTCCAGCTAGAGCTCAGAGTTCCATTTCCTCAAGCCCTAAACAACGTGACTTGCAGTAGCTGTCATTGCTGAGTGCTGGGTGTTTTAGCTCATTTGACCCGATAGCATCCCTATGAGGCTATTATAGCCATCTCCATGGGGTATTGTGAGACCCATTGAAATGTTAGCAGAGCACGTCTGGCCCAGGCCCGGAAGGTGACGTGTTTCTTACTCTGAAGGTGATGTTGATGTTGTTATTAGGTGCCATCGAGGTGACTACAACTCATAATGACCCTATGAATGACAGATCTGAACCCTGTCCTGTCCTGTGCCATCCTTATCTTCATCTCTGCCATACTTGAGTTTTTTATTGAAGTCACGGTGTCAATTCACCTCATGGCGGATCTTTCCTTCCTTCACTGACTCTCCACTTTTCTAAGGACTGATGGTGTCCTTTTCTAAGGACTGTTCTAAAGAGATAGAGGGTCATCATGGAGCTCAACCATGATGACAGCCAGACCCACTCTTAGACCCTGGCTCCCCACTTTCTGTCTGAGTATTCTCACCTCACCTGCAGTGCAGAGCTTATTATCTGCATCTGCAGAGAGTACATGGAAGGGCTTAGCTGAACACCTGGCACAAAATGAGCACATAATCAGTGGTGGTGGTGGTGGTGGTGGTGGTGGTGGTGGTTGTTAGGTGCTGTCGAGTCGCTTGCAACTCAGCGACCCGATGTACAAGAGTTAGAAACCCTACTCTTATCTTGTGCCAATCTCATTGTCTCCGACACATTACCCCAACCACTGAACTGATCCATCTCATCGAGGGTCTTCCTCTCCTGCGCTGTCTCTCCACTCTCCCAAACATGATGTCCCTCTCCAAGGACTGGTTTGCAACATGTCCAAAGTATGTCAGAGCTTCAGAAGTCATTGTATTATTGTTGTAGCTTTTATTACTGATAATATTGATTGCATGGCAAGTGAAGGCTCACGTACAGAGTGGCTTGACAGTGAACATCTGAGGCAGAATCAGAGTCGAAGTCATTTGGACGCCAGCCCTCAGTCCTTTGTGCCACATGTCTATACTTTCCCCTTCTAGACGTTGACCATATTAAAGGCTCTGAAAAGTGCTGTCATGAAGAAACATGTCTACTTTTCCCAAATCTTCTCCCACACTTGTTTGGCCATAGAATCCTGCTTCTGTAGACCAGGCTGGTCTCGTAGCCTGGAGAACTGGCTGTGGCTCTTCTATAGCCCAGAACCTTGGGGTCTAAGGCCTTTAGAGAAGCCCTAAGTTCAGCTTGCCTCCACTAATCTCTCTGCCTGGAGTGCCCACTGCATCTGGGCAAGGCCAGTGCCCAGGCCTTACTGGTGTGATGTCCCCTCAGGCCAGCGAGATCATCTTGGAGATCAAGAATGCCTTTGAGGAGAGCCTGAGCACACTCAAGTGGATGGATGAAGACACACGGAAGTCGGCCAGGGAAAAAGTAAGGCCCCCCAGGTGACCAAGGGGGTGCGGAGGCCTCCAGTGTGCAGGGCAGCAGCCACAGCTTGAGGGGGGAGTGACAAAGGACGGGCTGGTTTTGTGGAGTGAATATAGCATGGAATTGATCCCTGCCTTCAGTGCATGAGCTGGTCACGCCTTAGTCACAAGATTGTGCTAGCGACTGTATAAAAGCAAACTATTCCATATGTCCTAGAGCAGAGGGCTCGACCAACTGGCCCACATAGCTCACCTCTCATTGCCCTCTCTGTCTCTTCTGCCCAGGCGGATGCAATCTACAACATGATTGGCTACCCCAACTTCATCATGGACCCCAAGGAGCTGGACAAAGTGTTTAATGACGTGAGTGGCTTCTGTGTTCCCTTGTAAACCCAAATGTCCCTGGGGATCCCCCTTGGAAAAGAGCTGAGGTGGGGCTGGTCCAGATGGATCTGGAGGCTCCTGAGCTATGACGAGGCAACTGTGGTGTGAGCGTTGGGAACAGATAGGGTATAGGTAGCTGCTCCCTGCTCCTTCCTCTCCTGGGCCAGCTGAGACCCCTGCCTCCCTGGAGCCACCACGTGATGCCCAGTAGTCAACACCAGGACTCATGCTGAGTGCCCCACTGGAAATGGTCAGCTCCATTCAAATGAGTGGGAAATAATTAGGGCGGGGGCAGATTATAGAGGTGCAGAGAACATCCACACCTCTAAAACATCAGGTATATTCTGAGTGTTGAATATGCCACTGGCTGCTCAAAGAGCAAGGAAATGCGTCTTGAAGGAAGGGCAACCAGAGGGCTCCTTAGAGGCAACAGTGGGGAAACTGCGTCTCACATATTGTGGGCATATTTTCAGGAGGAACAAGTCCTTGGAGAGAGATGTTGTGCTGTGAAAGCATCAGTCCGCAAAAGAAAAGACCCTCAACAAGTTAGATTGACACAGAAGTACCAAAGTGTGCTTGAACGTGACAGAGATCGTGGGGGTGGCGCAGGCCAAGGCAGGGCTCTGGTCTATTGCTCACAAGACCTTTATGAGTCGTAGCGGACTCAGCGGCACCTGATAACGAACACATCAGGGAGTAAATAGAGTGAGAGCCTCGGTTGCCTTCTTTCCCAGCCCTGGCATTGCCTCATATCCAGGAAGTCCTCACTGAAAGAAACCGGAACCTCTGATTTTGACCCAGAAATGCTCATAGAAATCCCAAATGTTCTCTTTAAGCTTAGTTTAAGCACTAGAAGTCCTTGAAACATCCTGGAAATTCATTCCTTTAGATGAATTAAGCTTCTGCCTCAAAAGATAAAATGTTATATCTTCTTGTGCTTGAAATTTTTGAGTTCAAGCCTTCTTTTCTCATTTCTACCTGATACTTTTGATTTTTAATTACGGTTGTTGTTGAGTGTCATCGAGTTGGAACCAACCCATAGCCGACCCTCCAGCGGGTTTTAAGAAGCAATTACTCTCACAAGAGGAAACTGCCCATCCTTCTCCCACAGAGCTTCTAGTGGATTCAAACTATATGCCTTCAAAATTGCAGCACATTTTTTACGACTAGGCTCATAATTTTATTTATATATATATATATATATAAAATGTGTATATATATAAAAATGTGTATATATATAAAATGTGTGTATATATAATGTGTATATGTATAAAATGTGTATATATATTTATGTGTATATATATACACACATACACACACACATATATATATATAAAATGTTGTTAAATGCCATTGAGTCATAGAAGACTCATGGCACCCCTATGAACAAAAGACCTGAACACTTGTATAACTTTTGTCATTTCTCCATATTCATAGTTTCAGGAGGCAAGGCATTTTGGAAGTGGATGCCACTCCTTTTCCAAGCTTATTTTAATCAGAAAGCCCCACTAAACACTGTTCACCATAGGTAACCATTATCCCATTTGACGCATTGGTGTCACAGTGTTAGCATCACAGCAACCACGAGTTAACTCTGTACAGCAAATGGACAGACCAGTGCTGTACCACTTAGAAGAATGTTTGATCAAAACCAATATATAGAGATAGAGCTAGAGATATGAAAAGAGAACTCTGGTGACCTAGTGGCAAGAAGCTGCATTGCAATCCCAGAGGCACATGGTTCAGGTCCACCAGGCGCTCTGCAGAAGGATGGGCAATCCCCTCCTCCCGAGTATGATTAACTGTCTCTGAAAACATGGCCGAGGCTCAGCTGTGGGTTAGCTGCGACTCTATGGTACACAGCAACAACACATATATGACAGAACATTTCAGGTCACAAAAATCTTTACATGTTCAGTTCAGTTTGATCAATTATTTCACCATGCTTAGCTCTTACCCTTAATTGCCCCCTTATTATATCATCACCCTTAACAGAGGCTCGCATCTCCTAAGCAGTGTGAACATCTTAAAATTATTATAACCTCTCATTATGATTGTTATTGAAAACCTAGGAATAGAAAGATCACCTTTGAGAATAGGGATCTTATTTTATATTCTTTCTATCTAGTAATAATATTTTATTGTGTTTATGGTGAAAGTTTACACAACAATTAAATTATTCCCTCTTAAAAATTACTACATATACTTTTTAGGAACTTTGGTTACATTTTTCACTCTATTTGACATTGCCATTAATTCCTTTCTGGATGTTTCACTTCCATTCATCCAGTTTCCCTATGCATTTCTATCTCTGCTTTAGTTATTATTGACTATTTGGTCTTACAGAAATTATTTTGTAAAGCAGTTTCGTATTTTTTATTTATATGAACCATTCTGAAATCTATAAAAAGAAGTATTGGAATCTCTCAGGGCAAAATTCTCAGCAAGTGTTTTAGTCTCAATCAGTTCAGCATTCTGAACTTTTAAAGAATTTTAGTTCTGTTTCACATATTTCTCCCATTCTGTCAAGCAAGATACATTCATGATGACCTGTAAAGATAGTGATAGCCCGTGACTCAGGATTGATAATACTGTGGTTCAAGCAAACCATTAGGGAGCTCTGGTGGCTTAGTGGTAAGAAACTGCACTGCAGTCTTGAAGGCGCACAGTTCTAATCCACGAGCTGCACCACAGGAGAAAGATAGACAGTCCCCTCCCACATGATTTACTGCCTCTGAAAACCCACTGGGGGGTCAGTTCCAGCTCGACAGTGCTCAACAACAGCATGTAGATCACTAGACCTGTAGACCAATTTCTTCTCTTAGGTCTTGGTTTCTATTTACTTTCTTTTTCTTTTGCTCCAGTAATAATAACCTTTACCTCTTGAGAATAAATGGGAAGATAGTGTCATGATAGAAGGTCTAGAGTCTCCTGGAGATGGCCCAGGTTGATCCCAAAGGATAAGAGTTCTTCCTTAGAGAGCCAAATGTTTTACCCAAGTCCTGATGTAAAGTCTAAGAGATCTAGAGTAACGCTAAGAGAGAGTGTTGCAGCTGTCAAACGCTCAAAGGCTGGGCTGAGTGGTAAAGAGGAGGTGGGAAAAGACCTGTTCCTGAGCATCTCAGTGGAAATAGAGCCTGACTTGATTTATTAGCTCACTTTTGTCCAATATGGTAGCCATTAGCCATACATGTCTATTTGATTCATTTAAGTAGAAATTTAATAAAATTTTAAACTAGTTGTTTAGTTATACTGCCCACATTTGATAATACTACACGTAGCATTCTTGTAGGCACGTGTAGCTTCTTGTTGTTGTTGTTAGGTTCCATCGTGTTGGTTCTGATTCATAGCAGCCTTCTGCAGAACCAAACACTGCCTGGCTTTGCACCATCCTCAGAGCTAAGCTTGAGCCCAGTGTTCAGCCATCATGCCAGTCCATCTCACTGAGGTTCTCTCTCTTTTTTTTTTTTAATTTAAATTTTAATGAAAGTTTGTAGACTTTGGATTTCTATTCATTCATTTTTACACATTTTCCTCCCTAACCACCCCTCCTCCCATTGGTTTTTGTGGTCTAGTGGCAAGAAGACACACTGCAACTCCAAAGGTACAGGGTTCAAATCCACCAGATGCTCTGCTGGAGAAGGAGGAGCAATCTCCTCCTGTACCTGTCAGATCCGATTTGACAGTACACACAAAATAATAACATTTAAAAAAAATACTTTCATTATTATGCAAACCCCCCTCAAGTCTACTTCCCCATGCAGCTCTCATTCTAGACTCTTGTCATGAAAATAATACCTAATCATATATTCTTTGCAAACAGTTCCCCCAAACCCTGATGTCAATCCTGCTTTACAATTGTCCTGCTTTACATTGTTCAGTATTTGTCCCTTTATGACTGAGATATTTCACTTAGCCTAATGTCCTCCTGGGTCACCTATTTGTATAATATTTCATGAGTTCCTTGTTTTTTAATGCTGTATAGTATTCCATTGTGTGAATATACCACAGCTTCTCTTTCCATTAGTTTGTTGATGAGCACTTGGGTTGTTTCTAACTCTTTGCTATTGTAAACAAAGTTGCAGTAAACATGGGTGTGCATAGTATATCTGCTTGGGTGACAGTTATGGTTTCTTTTCGGTATATTCCCAGTAGTGGAATTTCTGAGTCAAATGGTATTTCTATTTCCAACTTTTTGAAGCTCTCGGGATCTTACTTCCATTTCTAGGAGTGGTTTGCACTGGGAATTTTGTGGTTCCTCCCAGCCTGGGGGACTCTGATGTGATTCTGTGTCTGCTTTCTCATTCCAGTACACTGCAGTCCCGGACCTCTACTTTGAGAATGCCATGCGGTTTTTCAACTTCTCATGGAGGGTCACTGCTGACCAGCTCAGAAAACCTCCCAACCGAGATCAGTGAGTCCTCCCAGGCTCCTCTAGGAAGGTGCTGGCTCCTGGCACATTGGGGTGCACTGGTCTGGGCTTGAGTTTAGGGAGCACATACCATGTGCCACACATACATAACTATTGTCAGAGCCCTCTGGAAGGTGGATTCTCTAGCTACCCCTGCTCTTCAGAACAAGGAACCAGAGAAGTTGTTCTCTCAAAGTTGGGGTCAGCCTATACCTGTCTGCCTCCAACACCCGAGCTGTTGGTAGAGTAAGCCTGGCTCCTGGAGTTGAGCAGACAAGGCATAAAATCTGGGTTCTGATGCTTCAGCTTTCTGAGCCCTTGTTTCATTATCTGTGCAATAGAATGAGAGTAGTCATCTGGTTCTTGGACCTTTCTAAAGTCAATACAAGAACGTGGTGGCCTTCTAAGCAAGAGCAAATCCAGAACCAAGCCAAACCACTGCCGACAAGCTGGTTTGGACTCAATTTCCGAGGCTGTAAATCTTGATGAGAGGAATTTGCCCATCTTTTTCCCTCAGAGAGGCTTGGGAGAGACTAGCCATCAGCCTTTGAGTTGGTAGCCTAATACTTTACACACTGTGCCACCAGGACTAGTTTACTAATAGCAGGAACCCTTTTTCAGAGACTGGTCCACACAATAGCCTGGATAACGTCAGGATGGGTCTTTGAAAGCTGTGGTTCCCAAGATTCACTGCACATTGGAACCTTCTGGGAAACTTAAAAATATATGTAGCTTCCTGTCCTCTGCCCCAGACCTTAAATCAGAATAACATGAAGTAAAATTATTTCTTTCGTCTTGTGTCATTAATGCAGCCATCATGGTGGGTAGATAGGGTCAGTGAAAGAAAGGAAGATGTTCAGAGAGATGAGGGAGATTGTGAAGATGGTTCAGCAAAGGGCATGTCTGTTGTTCTTAGGGTCAACAACAGATCGGTATAAGGGAGCTCTGATGGTGTAGGACATAAGGACTTATGCTAATAACCCCCATGTGGAGCCTCTTAGGTGCTATGACTCTCCCATCAACAGCTCCTTGTGAAGAAGATGGGCAGTCTCCTCCCATGAGATTTACAGCTTCTTAAAACCTGCTGGAGGCTCAACTCTTGAGTTGGTTCCAGCTCAACAGCACTGGGTTTCAATGGTTTTGGTTTTGATTTTGGCTTTAAAAAATATCTTCTGCCAAAGAAGGAATTTTTCTTTTGCTTTTCAAAGAGAGGAGCGAACTGGGCGGGGGAGGGCTGGGCAGGGAGAAAAGTGCAACAATGAATGAATGGAAATCCAAAATCTCTGTAAATGTTCATTAAAATTAATAAAATAATTTTTTTTAAAAAAAGACAAAGCAAAACCTTATAATGAAATGTGCAAAGACCTGGCATTAGAAAACCAAAAGGGGAAGAATATGTTTGTCATTTCTCAACTGAAATAACTATAAAAAACTTTAAGTTTTGAATTGAAATACTGAAAGATTCAATGGGCAAGGTACTAAATGATGCAGGAAGCAACAAAACAAGATGGGAGGGATACAGTCATTGTACCTACAAGAACTGTCAATAATGAACCATTTCAGGAAATAGTGTATAACCAAGAGCCAGTAATACTAAAGCTTTAATGAAAGCATTGCTTAATAATAAGACCCTGGGAACTCATGCGATACTAATTAAGGTGCTTCAGTGAACAGATGCAGCCCTGAACATGCTGACTCTTCTGTCTAAAAAATATTTGGAAGACAACTAACTGGAAGAGCTCTATATTTGCTCCCATTCCAGATAAAACATTGGTCCAACAGATTGTGAAAATTATCAAACAATGTCACAAAAATAAAATCATGCAGAATATTTTTCCATTATGACCAAAGCAGTGTGTTGATGCCAGAAAATTAAGCTGAATTCAGAAGAGGCGGTGGGATGGGAATATAATTGCTGATGTCACATGAAACAAAGAACAAACAAAGAAGTTGTTGTTATGCTTGTTATGTGCCATCGAGTCGCTTGCAACTCGTAGCGACCCTATGTACAACGGCCCTAAACTGTGTTCTGTCCTGTGCCAATCCCATTGTCTCCGACACACTCATCCCGATTACCCCAGTCACCGAATCAATCCATCTCCTAGAGGGCCTTCCCCTCCTGCGCTGTTCCTCCACCCTCTCAAGCATGATGTCCCTCTCCAAGGACCCGTCCCTCCTGGCAACATGTCCAAAGTATGTCAGACGAAGCCCCAGAATCCTTGCCTCCAAGGAG